CTAGCCTTTGAGGATTAGAACTGAGAGGTTGGAGAGGGAGTAGTTGTCTTGTGAGAAGTGTGCACTCACAGGTAATTGGGTATTTTTGCCTTTAGACTAACATGGCTACAACCAGCACCCCCAAAATATGGAAGATATCAAATTTTCACATGCTAAAACTCTTGTTGAAAGTGACAGACTCGTGTGCATATGCAAAGGCAATATTTTTTGTTTTAATTTAGCCAACCAGTTCATTAAGCTTCATTCAAAGCTGAGAATTTGATTGGAAGTTGAAGCAAGAAAACAAATTTTCTCTCTTCCAACCCACAAATAAAAATTAGATCTCACGGTATGAGCTCCACTAATTCTAAAATATAGAACCATGTGGTAACCAGAAACAGTCCCTTTATGACAGATAATGCTCCTTTTAATAAATCTGTTTTAAATATACAATGCATTTGTGAAACATTTTTCTCATGTCCTACATACTTAGTTTGCTTACATTTAACTATTACAAAACAAATTTTAAAATGCTCAACTCTGAATTCAATTCTAGTTCCTATCCAAGTAGGGCTTAATATAAATCCATGATTGCAAAAAAACCCAAAGATCAGCAAGTAAAAAAGTAATGCATCACAACCTTTCTTTAACAAAAAAAAAAAAAAAAAAAAACCCCCAACCCTTTTTTTAAAAAAAAAAAAAAAAAAAGAACTAAAATATACCAGTTCACAATAAGGTTCAAACCTATTATATACTTTATTCTAATATTCCTTCTTGCTACTTCTAAAAATTGATGACTTTTCTCTAATATCAATCCATATACCTTAGTTCAACCTTGCCTTCAGTTCCCCCAACACAAATTCAGTAGGTTCAGAATGGTTGTGTAGACCAGGCAGAATCTCATGTACACTCTTTAACTTGCTGTATTTGCTACAACATAGCCACATCTCTATGTCAAACTGCCCTGAAATGCTGAATGTAGGGTTCAAGATGAGTCTGCTGAATGTTTTGTTTGGGTCTAAGCAAAAGCAGGATGCAAGTCCTAGTGGGTAAATTGGGGCACAAGAGGAGCTTCTTGCCCATGATGATCTTGGCACCAATTCAGCAAAGCACTTAAACACGCCTCATCGTAAAATGCATGCTGAGTCTCATTATAGCTAATGGAACTTAAGCACATGCTTAAGGGGTTTGCTGCAGCACAGTCATGATGTTTGTGCTGATTACAGCTGGTGGAGAATTTTTCCATTCAACTTTCTTTTCTCAGTGACCAAAACTTCACAGAAAAGGATTGGTTTCAACAAATGACCTATTTTGAAAAGAATTGAGAAAAGGGTTTGACATTGTTATAGTTAATCTAATTTTAGTTACCAGAAAAATGCTATTCGTATAAAAATGGAAGTTTTAAGTAGTATCACTGATCTGGGAGTAATTCAGTCTCTGGGTGTTCAGATTGGGACAGCTGAGGCCTGGTTTACTGATAGACCAAGAATCCACACCTCATGGTTAAGCTGATAGGAGCTGAAGGTGCTTAGCATCTCTTCAGGTAGGGCGAATCCCTCTATGGAGTCTCAAGGATTATCCACAGTTGGTAGCCAGGTTTGAAAAATGTGGATGTTAATATCTGAACATGGCTTAGAGCCCCTACTTGTGGCAGATCAAACACTTGTATGGCCATGTAACTTCCAGTATTGCCTAGATGTCACAGATAATTATGCAGAAATAGAATTGCTTTTCCATTTTTCTTATGTAGCTGGCTGAGCAGTCCCCCTTACAGTCCTAAGACCCAGCTGAGTGTTTGAGTCCTGGTGGAACACCACCCTATTAAAACAGTCTGCTAAAGAGGCCCTTGTTGCATGGCTTTGAGGGATTACAAACCCCATGCTGTAAGCCTTGGCCGGGGTGGACACAACAGCTGTCTATAGCCAGGCTGTAACCCCATGCCCTGCACCCCACCATCAACACAGAAATCCCACTGCCGCTGCTTCCTCTTCTACTGCTGCTGGGCCCTGGCTCCAGCTGGACTGCACCCTTGCATCTTGCTACCAGGGCATAAATCGGGGTGGGGGGGGGCATGTGCTCCTCACATGTCACCTATGACAGTACCCATGATAGTGGGAAAGTGCCTGGATGCAGGACTGGTATGTCTTGTCCATCGTGAGTACTAGTTTCCTCATCTCAGCCTTCAGGTGCAGAGCTGAGATTTTTGTACTTGTATCCTGGGGCAAAATAAAGGCAGAAGTCAATAGCAGAACCAGTCAGCTATGCTAGTCCATGGGTCCCTTTCCTAGGGGCTGACCACTGGATAACAGTGCCCAACAATGTTGGGCATTTAAAACCCTGGGAAAGGAGACCAGGTAAGTTTTAAGACTTTCTCCATGATAAATTTACCAAAAATGTCATCTTGCTGCTTGTTATCTCCACGTTCTCTCTTGTGTCCTCTATTTCTTTCATGGATAGTTATTTCCGTCTTGTGATAAGCTGCCCATTAGTCAGCTACACTTCAGAGGCCTAATTATTGGAGCCCCTGAGTTCTCTGGGCTTGGTAATATTTCTTCCTGTCAAAACTACTGCAAATAGTATATTAATGAATATAGGATGACCAGTGACCTGCCTGTGTGTGCATGTTACATAAGGGGGTTGGATTACTTCATAATCCCCTATTCTCCATTTGTAGGTCTGTCTTCATCAATGACTTGTGCTGCCTTTATGTTTGGTTTACACATTCTTTATAGAGATATTTCAGGCTGTAGGTTTCAGTCACTCATCTTCCCACTCAGGTCACATAACACAGAAAAGATCTATCAAAACAGGTGACCTGACATACAACAGGGGCAGTTGTTAAATAGAGAGTAAAAGCCAAAATAATTGGAGAGGAAGGATGGGAAGTCAGCCCAATCACACAAGTAACACTGGTTAACAAAAATAAACCTTTTTTTTTTTTCCTGTGTGGGAGATCAGCTGAGCTAGTAGTTCTGTTTTGTGTCACAAGAGAAGGAGTTGTGATGTAACCAGCTTGTTATGGTAAAATAACAGTGCACTCTCCCCACCCTTGCCATTGCTCAGAGGTCTCCTTGACAGCTCACCCTTGGTGGGCTATCAAGGAGCCAGTGCTCTCCCCTCCCTGCCCTCCTGAGGTTATCCCAGTATTGAGAGATGTGTACAACTATTCAAGTTGGCACAAGAAATGAGAGATCTTCCTGGTGGGAAGTACTGTCTTTTTTGCAGGACTAGGGGAGTGTGGGTCAGGACAGGCCATGAACCTTTGCAAGTGGATCTTGGTAGGAAAAGGGTTGAGAACCACTGCTCTAAGCAACCACTTGATCAATATTTTGGCATGATGATAGAAGGTACGGGTGGCGGAGGACTGAATGAAATGCAGAACTGGAAACGGTAGGTAACTGAAGATTCCTTCTTATTTCACAGTGGCCAGTGTGGTAGACTTGGTATCGTAGTGACGTTTTCAAAAGTGTTACTACAGACATTCAGTTTACCTCTGTTGCTTGAACTTGTTACACTCTACTTGATATTCCTGGCCTGTTCTGGTACTCTTTTATGTCTTCCACAATCCATGCCAAAAATGGCTGGATCTTAAAACTGTATATTGATAGCTCTTAATTCTGTCATGCTTGGCCAGGTGTGTTGTGCATACAAGACCAGTTCATAGGGTTTGTTAAAGAAAGCATATAGCTTGTTTAATTATTAGTATCATAGTCAGTTTTTTCCCTAAATAGATTAAAAAAAATTCTAACATCATCTGTGGCTGAGATTTGAGATCCATTACTGAAGCTTTCTGGATTCCCTTGTGCTCAGTGGCTAATATATATCTTCCCAGCCTCACCAGTTTAGCCTAAACATATAAGTCTGCTTTCTATGCAGTGCTCAAACAAATATATTTATCTTTCTAAAAAGTCTTCTAGAAATAGATGAGAAATTATGCAGGATACTTGTTGAGAGCCAGATTCTGGTGGCTTTATTCATGTGAGTAGTCTGACTGCAGTGAATTTAGGTGAGTAGGAATTGATTCTGAATGCACATTCAGCAAAGCACTGACAAATGCACTTCCTTGTTTGCTAAATAAAGGATAGTGCATTCACATGCTCAAAGTCAAGTCCTGGTTTGAGTATTTTGCTATTTGAAGCCTCACTGTTCCTGAGTGTATGAAAAATGTGCCAGTATGCCTTGAAAGAAGTTGCTTTCATTTGCTGTTAATGAGTTCAAGGGTAACAGTCGTTTAATTTCTGCTTTGCAGCTTTTATTGCATACAAATGTTTTGCAGTAAATCAAGAATTTGTTTTGCAGTTTTTAAATGTTGTCCATGGTTTCCAGACTGGTTCATACATCGCTCATGTGCATTCTCTTAAACAGGATGTACATATGAGTTTTGTGTCATGCAAAGCCAGTACAGATGAGAAGTGTTTTAACATATTCAGTTTTGACAGTCCTTTGTCACACTGCTTTATGCAAATCAGTCAGGGTTACATACAACCAGAAATAGGGTTACTGAATTTACACTTTACAGTAAGCATTCATCAATTGCAGCACTTTTATGGGCTGTGCATGGCACATCCTATCAGTCATCAGGTCTTGCCTTGGCTGGCTTGGTTGCATTTCCTAGTTGATGCTGACCAAGGAGAAATGGGATTCTGAAGAAGCATGACCTCTTGCAGTCTAATGGGAGAACAATTAACAGTGTCTTTTCAGCAAAATACTTTTTATGGAAGTACATGCATGTGGTTTTATTTCCGGATGCGAGTTAAGTGAAAGATCAAAGAGGGTACAGATGACCCTTTTCTACTTCAGGAGCATACCTTCTAGCCAGTGTGTTTATCCTTCCAGTTGCAGCTCAAGAACTAAAACTGTGAATGGGTGTTGAGGTCAGCCAAAAGACAAGAAAAGGTGTCATAGGACCCTTTTCTTCCAACCAACGGAGCAGCGGTAGCAAGTAGTTGACTTTAAAATGGCCCAGTAGAGATTTGTTTCTCCTGCTGATCCATTACACTCCTTGTTTTCTCTTTTTACAGGTTATTTCCAGGATTTGTTGAACAAGTCAGAGAAGGCCCTCTATGACACATTCCCTAGCATGTATGGGGAGCTATACACGCAGAACATCAAGCTCTTCAAAGACTTATTCAGTGAGCTGCGACGCTATTACCGAGGCTCCAATATCAACCTTGAAGAAGCCCTCAATGAGTTTTGGACACGCCTGCTGGAGCGGCTCTTCAAGCAGCTGAACCCCCAATACCATATCACTGATGAGTACCTGGACTGCATGGTGAAACACTCTGAGCAGCACAAGCCCTTTGGTGAAGTCCCGAGAGACCTGAAGCTGAAGGCAACAAAAGCCTTCATTGCAGTGCGCTCCTACGTGCAAGGGCTTAGCGTGGGCAGTGATGTCATCAAAAAGGTGTCTCAGGTAGGTCATGAAGCAGATCCCACCACCACCATTGCCAGGTGTGCAGTCTTACACCCCTCTACTCCTCACACATCTCAAAAAACCCTATTTGCTACTGATTGATACTAGGTGGTTGTTATCTGTATTTCCCTTCCTTAATTCTTCCTTATGAATCTGGCAGGCTTGTTGATACTGAACATCTTCCAGCTGCATAAACAATTTCCTAAGGATCACCTACCACTGGTAGGAAATAACAAACAGGGCTGTTATAGACACTGACAGAAGAGGGGAAGGGCAGCACAGCTACCCACAAATTATAATTTACATCAGTTTAACCTCTGTGGCAGGGTGCCATGGAGACTTTAGTCACCCACAGTGTATAGTCATTCTGTTGCTTGCATATATTCCTAACATTTCCCTGGCAAATAAAGTGTCATAGCTTTAAATCACATTTTGTTATTTTCCCCCTGGATGGTGATATGATTTAAGGCACGTAAAACTGGCTTGCAAAGTGTGCTGGGAACGCATGCCAGAGGTATATTTCAGTGGTGGGTGAAGAGATTCTTGTGTGTTTATACAGCAGTGTATCTTTATACAAAGCATGCATACTGCGAGAGAGGCAGTTTGTAAAGTGCACTGGGATCCTTGGGGATTAAAGGTGCTATATAAATGTAAATTAATGCTGTTGAATGTGAGGTTTTAGTCGGAAAAAATTGTATACATCCTTTAGTACAAAAGGAACCTTTCAGAGCAGAAGGAAGACTATTGCCCACAGACAAGGTATTCAGATTTTTACAGAGGCGGTGTGATGTAGTCATTCCTGGGTCTACAGCTGAAAACAATGGCTAGCAAGGGGAAAATCTATTCTATAAAATGGCATGCTTCATGAAGAAATGGCAAACAGCAAGTATACAAGTCGGACTGTGATTAAACAGTGAATGTAACAAATGTAATACCAATTAATTTCCTTGCCAAAAAACACTTCGTAAAGGACAGTATTAATTTTGATGTGAGTCCAGTGTTGGATCTCAAAAAGAAACCTTAATATGTTAACAGTAGCAGATGCTTTCAGTTATCAATATGGTTCTATAAAACTGTTCAGCCACATAAAGGGCTTTGTACATCTCATTAACGTCACACTGCCATGTGAGACTGCTGAGGAGAGGCGTATAATTTAAGCAGAATCAAATATTTTGCATAAATTCTCTGAATTGCTGGGATCTCCAGCTTTTTATGTGCATGATTCTACCTTTAGCCCATATCAGGTAGAGTCTAAAGGAATAAATGAATGGATAACAAATTGTCATCTCTTTCCTTTTCCTCATCCTTAGAACTTTCCCTATGTGCATAGGGCAGTCATAGTCATAGCTTTTCATTTACTGGTTTGTTTTCAGCACCAGTAACTTTTGAAATGCAATACCGTTTTGTGCTGTTGATGAATATCTCTTTCACCCACTGTCATCTGCAGCTTTTTAAATGAGTGTTTTATTTGGTACTATATTTATGTGATTCTCTTAATCACTTTGGCATCCACTCATTAAATGAGGCATATATATGTAAACTATGTGCAAAATGATCAACTTGCTGGGTCTAGAAGAAAACTAAAACTCCTTTTTTATTATTATCTATTTCCTGATAGATTTAGATCCTTTATTCCCAGTTGATCTGTCCTCAGTGAAACTTGGGAGAACCACTTGTGTTTATAAACAGTAGCCACATAAAACTGTAAAAGTTTTCCAGTTTGCTAAAAGTTCAGCAAACCTAATTCAAGTATTAAGCTTTTACAACAAAAATCTGAAACTGGGTAATTTTAATCTGTTTCTTTAGAAATGTTCTCCCTAGTTCTAGTAACTTCACTAAAAGAAGACTAATGAGAAGTAAGTTTCACTTTACAAAGGTCTTGGCTTTCAACAGGTATAAAATACAAGGCCCAATTTTCTACCAAGTTTGAGATGAAAGCTTCTTTAAGCTGAAATTTTACTGTTTGCCCCCAGCCAGTTGTGAATGTTGTGTTTAGAAAGTGTGAAGAAAGCCCATGGAAGCCAGTTTGATATGGACGTCCATAAATAACAATCTGGTTTTGCACTTGTAAGAAATTGTCCTAACTTTTTTGAACTCACATAGTAGAAGCTGCTAGTCTCTCTTAAATTGAGCTTTTGGCATAGTGCTGGTCCTCCTTGATTTGCCCTAAGCATGGAAAAACTATTAGAAAGCCGTTGCTATAAGCTACAGGTAATTGTGTTGTAAGTGTGTGCAGTACATACTTGTTGGCACAAAGGGACATCTAATTAGGTGGCAGTAGCACTATAAATGCTAATAGTGAGATATCTATTTGTGTAGGTTCTTTGAGCTATCAGTCCTTTTTAAGTTTTTGATCCTGCAAGCTGCTTGTGAGTGCACCATGTCTCTTGTAAAACTCGTTGTAAGATCTGGCCCTCCAACCCCCACGTCACCTGTTTTGTCTGCCTTTGGCCAGGGTATGTCATTTTGTAACAGTTTCATTGAGGACGAAGGATACAAGCTCTTCCCACAAAATGCAATGCAAGAGATACTAGGCTTAGAAATGGGGAGAGCCTTTTATGAGGCATACAAATGGGGAGAGAGAGGCAGCTTGTCACTGACTACAAGACAGACAGGAATCTGATTTTTAATGACTGCTGCCTCCCCACTTGGCCCAAGTTTCTTTTCCTCTCACAGCTGCTGAAGCTTGTATCATCCCAGTGTTTCTGCCAGTTTGTATGCCGTGTCTGCCCCAGCAGCCTTCATGCACAGCCACTCAAGCTGTGATGGAAAGGTGCATGTGCAGGTTCTGCTACAAGGCAAGTGGAGTAGAATCTGCCTGCTTGGAGCAGATGTGTGGAAACACATCTGCCAATGGAGACAGAAGGTCTGGTGGGAGCAGGTCAGCTGTCAAGAAATGGCATAACCGTTATTTATCCTTACAGTCACTATCAATCAGCCTTGTCACCCTGACAAACTTCCAACGTAACACTGGAATATGAAGCTTTCCATTCCCTGCTTCTTGGTTCAAACATGGCCCCTGATTGCACTGGAAAATTATACCATCTGTTCAGTGGTTCATGTAAAATGGTCTTGGGGGTCTCAGTTGGGAAGAAGACTTGTATGCATGCAATTTACACAGCTGACATCCTTGGTAGCCATCTCAGCAGAGTCTGAATGAATATGTGGACAATAGTGTAGAGAAGGTTGTACTTCTGCTTCCTACCATATCTGGTCTGGGGATGGAAAATCTAGTGCTGTTGGATTGTAAGTCAGACACTTTTAACAAGCATTTCCTTATTTATTTTAAGATGGCTGTTAGTAAGATATAAAAGGTCCCACTTATCATCATTAATGTGTTGTAGGTATTTGAACTTGTGGATGACAGATGTTGTGGCAGGAGCTCTCAGTATACTTATACCATGTGTGTATGGCGTGTCTGTTGGGTCTCTTACCTCAAATTGCCTGTGTTCATTTGTTATAAAATCCAAGTATGTCTCCTCCTGTGAGCCTCATTGTGTGCTTACAATAGTAGATTTGGTAGCAAGTAGCTAAGTAATCCTTCTGGGGAGCATTGCAGCAAAGGTCTCTAGCTTAAGATCCATTCTCTTTGTTGCATGCCAGGGCAAGAGAGAAGAAATATCTCACTTTTATCTCAGATTCTTTTCTTATATTATGAGATTGGCAACTGCCCAAAAATAGCATTTGCTGTGAATCAGAAAGAGCTTCATCTGAACAGGTGAATGTCTAGTGTTGAGAGACTTGGAAGCTGCCAGTTGGTGCTCAGTCTGCTCACTTGGTCCTAGTGCATGTCATGTTCCAGTGTTGTTAAACTCTTAACAGGGATGAAGGGAGCATGGAGAGGGGAAACTTTGGAACTTTTTTTTTAAAAGACAGAAACAAGAGACAGAAACAAGAAAAAGAGAATAATGTGGGGGAGAAGGAAGCAAAACTGGACAGATTAAACTGAAAGTACTAACAGGGAAACAGCCACTTGAAACAGTGTAGCAATTAAAAGCAGAGAGCCAATGTGATGAACAGGTATATCCTCATTGCATTTTTTTATTTCTTACTCCTGTTAAATGAGTTAGTATCAGGGAACTGTGGTCAAAGGCTAGAGCCATTCAGCTAGGTGTTGTGCAGATGGTACAGAAGGCACTCTTTGCCTCTGTGAAGCCATACTCCATGTATCAGACAGAATACAGCAAATGGAAGAACGAGGATAAAGACACTGGCTAGGGACAGACATTACACATAAACTTGTTTAAGTGATCAGAAACTGGTTTAAACCTGTAATAGAACATAAGTACCATGCACATAAAACAGTTTCAAAATGGCTGAAACTGCTTTAAGATAAACTGGGTTGAATGTAGCATCAGACTTAACCAATTTGGGTCCAACTGGTTTATGCAATGTCTGTCCCAAACCCCTTTCTGGTTTAACTTAAACCAGAGTCCCTCAGGATCTCAGATGCTTTGCAGCCCTGGGCAGGGCTCTCTGCTCCAGAGAGCTGGGCTAGCGCCTACCCTCTGCTCCCTGGCTGGAGCTCCAGCAGAGTCTGCAGGTGCAGTAACATCTGCTTGGTTTCCTCTTCCCCCACCCACGCTACCTGCTGAAGCAGGTATCCTTCCCTTCCCCTCTCCCACAGCATGGACCATAGCCAGGATGTGGTATGCTACCTAATGCTGAGAGGTGTCTGTATAAAGCAGACAGGATAAAGACAGACAGGACAGTGTCCACTTAGGGCTTTTTGGAGCTAATCAACAGGTAGTTGGTAATCTCTCTCCATTTCTTTCTTAGAAAAAGCTGTTTAAGAAGAGCTTGAACTAATGAGAGAAGCTTTTGGTTTGTTTGATGAAGTGCTAAATACTATCAACTCCCTGTATAACTCCCTGCTGTGTAACTAAATGCTGTTATCAACATCCTGCTGGCACCCTCACTGGTCAGGAACAGCTAGGGCAGGTGGGTAGGAGGAGAGGGAAAACCCCTCCCTAATCAGAGCATCCTGCTGCGGCCCAGTC